AATCTTCATGTTCGTTCAGTCCATGGCATCCCTTCTGATACTGCCAAAAGAACCAATTTTTTTCAGTTGTTGAAAACTGTTTTTGCAGTTGGCAATAATCAAAATGGTTGTAGTTCTTTGATGAACATGGAAACTGTCTCACAAAAATGTCATCTAAAAGGCATTTTTTTCATTGAAAAAAAATTTCAGCAAAATTTTTTAGACCAGCTCTAGTGAAAACCCGTCCCCCAACCACTACTCGGGCTTTCCTCAATTAATTTTTTCAGCCTCAACATATAACGAAGGCCAAATGTTTATGATTTCCTCAGCTTCTAAGTTTGGGAAATACTGCTATAGGGGTCGCATTGTCTTCTTTCTCTCTCACCCTTTACCCCACTTTACATGGGGCTGTGTGACTACTACAGGTAGCATTGACAGAGGTACACAGTATCAAAAAGCCATATCTTACCGCAACTGTGGGTTTATGGTTTCTTATTGGAGGTATTGACCTAGCAGCAGCAGGTGTCCTGGGACTGCAGCAAGGGGTAGGTGGAGGTGTTGGGGTTAAAGTTCCCATCAAGGATACATCCGAGGCAGGTCCATAGCTAAGATTTCTGCTACTTCGAGAGCGCTGGTAAAGAGAAAACGGTCTTGGAGCCAGATTCCTTTCAACAGATGCTCTATTTAAAGGATGCACTAAAGCAGCTAACTTCTTTTTGGCTTCTTCCAACTCATTCTTCATATTATTAAATAAAATCATGGATCTTCTCTGCTTGATCAGATTTGCGGTAACTGGCTTGTGGCAGCAGTTTTCGGAAGGTGGATCTAGCAATACCGGAGAAGTCCTTGGCCTAAACTGGTGAACTCTGGCATGCTGAGGCCTGGCGCTTTCAACAAATTTGCTGTCCAAAATGTTTTCTTCTTCTTTGTTGCTTTCTTCACCGGTAGTTGAGGAATACTCATCATCCTCAGAATACTCATTCTCTTCAGAGTACCAGTCCTCACTTTCCGTCTCAGATGGTGCACCTCTGGGCGGGGGAGGGCCATATTTCACATCAGCAGCACTTAGGCTTACACATCGCCGAACAGAGGTTGTGGGCGTCACACCATCCTTTGCTTTCCCACCAGTTGTCTCCTCGTTCTGTGTATTGATGACATAGTTTTCTTTAGGATCAACCAAAAGCAGCCAGCAAGGTGGAGCTGTTGGCACAACATCAGTAGTAACTTCATACCAGTGAGTTTCTTGCCCAGAAGCAGCCTCAATCCAGTAAAGCACCTTTCTTTCTAATGAGAAATCATGCTGCAAAATAGCAGTAAACAGAATAATTCAGTATTTATTAAAAAAAAAACCCTCATGTGATGTCAATTAAAAGACTTTTATGCATTCAAACCTTCACTCTTACTCACCGGAGTAACGCTTACAATAGAACTAGTTGCAAGAGTAAGGGGTGCAGGACGGGACAGGGTGGGCCACATCCTCTGCTGGGGTAAATCAGCAGAGCTCCATCTCAGGTAAGGGAGTTATGCCAATTTACAGAGTCTGCCCCAATATCTGTAATCCTGAACATAGAACTGTATCCGCCTCTCAGAAATGATTACATCCAACTCAAATAAATTCACACTGGAACTTCGGGGTTTTTTTAAATCTCTGAGTAATGCTTAGAAACCAACTAGCTTCCAGAGTTGAGCTCACAATCAAAGCCTTATGCCTTGTTTTAAGTATTTAGCACCTACGGTACTGGGGCAGGGGAAACACAGAACTGTGGACTGAGGGTATTGGCATGGAAGTAGAAGAGGTACTATTTTTATATACTTTGTTTTAAAATGTAAATATATTTGTGATGTAAGTCTAAAGACTTGATTGAGCAAATAAATCTCATATCATGCCCTGGAGCTTGCCAGACTAGAGCTCTTATGGGGTGTCAGATAAACATACCCCATAGTCAGGCCACAAGTTCTGTTTTTACTACTTACATACAATAAGGCCTAGTACAGGGGTCAGCAACGTTCGGCACGCGGCTCGCCAGGGTGCTTACCCTGGCGGGCCGGGACAGTTTTATTTACCTGCTGACGCGGCAGGTTCGGCCCATCGCGGC